TGCTTATATACCTCACTTCATAAGGCCTATGACGTACTGATGATCGGTAACGACCGTGAAACAGCTGTCTGCGTCTGGCCTGTTGCACTCTTAGCGAGCTGCTCATGTATTATATATATATATATATATATATATATATATAATGTTAGGGGGCGCTCACCGATCGTCTTTACGGAACTCACTGGCTCCGTTGTGCCTTACGAGCTCTCTCTCGAGCCCAACTAGCAGCCGCACAGCGGCGCATGATATAGGCAGAATGGCATTACCGATAAAGACAAGGGAGACTTGAATGGTCATTTCTGGCTTGTTAGTCGTCGTCAGCCATTTATACCCAACCCCGAAGTGTGGAACACCCGAGGCCCGAACTCGCGACCTGTTAGTTCGAAGTCTAACGCCTCCAACCACTGGGCCACGAGCCCGTTGTCCTGTCGGTTGCGATCGGGAATATACAACGGTAGAGGAGCGCTCACTGATCGTTTCTAAGGAACTCATTCGTCCCGTTTCACACTTCATGGTTGAGTATGACTGGCTGATGACGGCTAATAAGCCATTTCATATATATATGTATGCATTGAAGAAGAGCAGGCGATCTCTGGGGATGAAGACCTAATCAGCTGACGTTTCGTACTCATACTCGAGCACATAATCGGAGATAGACAAATTGAGAAATATATGGTTTAAATAGGTCATTCGTACTAGCAGAAAGACTGGACCATTTGAGATAATATTTGAAGGCATCCATTAACTGATATTTGAGAGTTCGACCATCACCTGACTTAACTCTCACACTCACCGCGCCCCGATAGCAAGACAAAGTCAAGGTGATCAAAGGTGGTCATTGACTCCTCGTACACCAGCTTTATTTAGGGGGGTCTCGAATCTAACGCAAGTGAGGATGCGATAGAGATCAGGATAAGAAGGCGTTGCGACTTGGCCATAAGTCCTGAAAAGGATCGAGTTATCCCGTCAGTTAACAACCTATTAGGCCCTGACTCTTGGCGCAACGTGACATACTTAAGTTCGTCAGACTTATTATTAGTGAGGAATGCGTTGAGTTGACGTATGGATAGACTCCCCAGTTCTGATCTCATTCCCCCCCCCCTCCATTTCTTGCCCTTAACATATACTAATGGTTTGTTCGAGTCAGGTCGGTTGGGAATGAGATCAGGCGCAGTGGCTAGCGAAGCTAAACAACCCACCAACACCAGCCGCACATAAGAACAAGGACAAGCCAATGACAGTAAATTTCATAGTTGCTGAAAGCCTGTAGGTATGTTTATTCAATAGTATCCACACATTTGTGTGCAAGGTCCGTTTCTTGAAACCAGCACGAAAGTACCGTTTGAAGGAATTGCATGTTTTCGTAGCTTTTTATCTTCATAGTTCCTCCTGAAAGCTCTTGAGTTTTCGGCGCACGGACGAAAAGGAAGCAACAATATAAGTTGTGGAAGGCACAACACCGTTGGGGCGACGTACACTGGGCTGGTATTGCTCCAGCTCAGGATAGGGGCTTTCCGTTTTGTGTTACAGAATACTCGCGTGTCAACTTACGCCCCGAGGCAATAATAAGTTCCCTTAGTATTTACTGCGCCAGGCGAGGTCGATAGACAGCAATCCCACGTGACTTGCAATACCCCCCC